GGACTACATCATGCTAAAAAGCTTCTGAACAGCAAAGGACACTATCGGCAGAACAAAAAGGCATCTTAGAGTATGGGAGAATATATTTGTAAATGACATATCTGACAAGGGGTTAACATCAAAAATATATAAAGAACTCATGTGCCTCAAGACCCAAAAAGCAAATAACCCTATTAAAAAATGGGCAGAGGATATGAACAGACAGTTCTCCAAAGAAGAAATTCAGATGGCCAACAGGCACATGAAAAGATGCTCCACATTGGTAATTATCAGGGAAATGCAAACTAAAACCACAATGAGATCTCACCTCATGCCAATTAGGATGGCCAACATAGAAAAGAATAGGAATAACAAATGCTGGCAAGAATGCGGAGAAACGGGAACCCTCTTACACTGCTGGTGGGAATGTAAACTAGTTCAACCATTGTGGAAAGCAGTATGAAGGTTCCTCAAAAAACTCAAAATAGAAATACCATTTGACCCAGGAATGCCACTCATAGGAATTTACCCTTATAAGAATGCAGGAGCCCAGTTTGAAAAAGACACACGCATCCCTATGTTATCGCAGCACTATTTACAATAGCCAAGACATGGAAGCAACCTACCTAAGTGTCCATCAGTAGATGAATGGATAGAGAAGATGTGGTACATAAACACAACAGAATATTATTCATCCATGAGAAGAAAACAAACCCTACCATTTGCAACAACATGGATGAAGCTAGAAGGGGGTATTATGCTCAGTGAAATAAGCCAGGCGGAGAAAGACAAGTACCAAATGATTTCACTCATCTGTGGAGTATAAGAACAAAGCAAAAACTGAAGAAACAAAACAGCAGCAGACTCACAGAACCCATGAATGGACTAACAGGTACCAAAGGGAAAGGGACTAGAGTGGTGGTGGGGTGGGGGGTTGGAAAGGGAGGGATAAGGGGAATAAGGGGCATTACGATTAGCATACATAATGTAGCGGGTGTGTGGGAGAGCCACGGGGAAGGCAGTATAGCTCAGAGAAGACAAGTAGTGACTCTATAGCATCTTACTACGCTGATGGTCAGTGACTAATCTGGTATGTGGTGGGAACTTGATAATGGGGGAATCTAGTAATCACAGTGTTGCTCATGTAATTGTGAATTAATGATAACAAAAAAAAAATACATCCAAGAGTCTTTGAGAATCATTGTCTCCTCTATAACTTAGATTCTTTTCTATTATTAATAAACTGAGAAAGGATGCAAATGTCACTAATATTAAAATAGGTGTATATATTAGGCTTTGAAAAAAAGATGTTTTCATAAAATCCACCTAATAGTTTTAACTTTACATTTATATATACTACTGTTGTGTTTTTCTTTTATCCTTAGAGGTTTAACATAACCTCTCTACTTTAAAAAGCCCCCTAGGGCCGATTTCATGGCCAAAGAAAAATAAAGCCTCGCAAAATAACTGAATAACTTCAGTGTTTTACCCTAAGACCCTTTTCCCAACCCATTTTTTTAAGCCTGGAAAGATAAATGAACTAAAGCTGTTCATCTTTAGTTAACTCAAGTCTACTTTTTTAATAGTAAATGGTTGATGTCAAAGAAAGGATTAAAAATGATGTTCTTTCAACAATTCCTTAATATGACTTGGGATTTGCTTTGCACTCAGTCCCTCCTGGACATAGCCAAGGCCAAGTGAACTTAGTATTACTAGTCTGGAAATCTCTTAAAAATAAAAACTCCAAAGCATGAAAGGTGCCATGGTGAAAAAAGATAAAAGGAGTTTGCTAATGATAGGTCAAAGAAGTGATGTGCCCCAACCCTCAGGAATAAAAGCAGAGAGCATTTTCCACCTATAATATAGTTCAGAATGAGGTAACAGAGAAACAGGATATGAACTTCATTACTTTAGTCCCGTGTAAGTCACAGAGTAGTCTCGGATGCCCCATTGCTTCCTCTCTTATAATTAGCAACAAAAAACTTCTAAGAAAAAAAAAAGATCTTTTTCCTTTGTGCTTGTCATCTAGGCAAGCAAAGACAGGGGAGGAGCAGCCAATCATGGAGGGAGAAGAACAGAGAGGATGAGGGAGAGGAAGAAGAGGAGGGGAGAGAGGAGGTGGTGTGGGACAAGAAAGGAAAGGCAAGCGGCTGGGAGCCCAGAGCCTTTTTCAAGGATAAAAGAATTAGTTTAATGTCAATCACTGAAACAAGTTTTCTAGGATAGTCCCAACTCAAATATGTTCTTTGCCTGGCACTCCATTACACAGAAGGTAGGCATGATCATCCTCATTTCACAAATGAGGCATAGAGAGATGAATTTGCTAATCTGAGAAAGACCACATTCTCTTAATTCCTCTGAGTCTAGATCCAGTGCTCTTTCTTCTACAGAAGGCTCTCTCTTGCCCACCTCCACAGCAGCACTGCATTGTGCTTTATACTTAATACGAGAATGCTTAGGCATTCTTATGTAATTCCTACAAAAATGCATTAGGAAGGGGAGATGGGATATAGAATTTTTCTCATTGTAAAGAAATCAGAATGACTCAGCCAGGCATATACTAGGGTAAGAACTCAAAAGTCATCTGACTCTTTAAAGTGTGCTTTTTGCTCTCAGTATCACATTTTTTTACATATCAAAAATAAGTTATTTTCTCTCTGCTGTTTCCCATGGAGCTCAAGTTCCAATCTCACTCCTAGCTCCTGAAAGCTCATTCTGGTCTTATTTCTGGCTCATCTTCCTGATTCAACCTGAGTTTTCACATTCCCTATCTCTTGCGCTGTCAGTAGATTTCTACTCTAGGTCCCCAGCCCCCTATCCCACCTCTTCCTCTGGAGGCCTTCGAGCCTCTGCTTTCAATGCCTATGGAGATGTTCTTTTTCCACCCCCGAGAGTAAAAGGAGAACAACAAAAAACTAAAATAATCTCCTTTCATCTCCACGTTAATCAGGCAGCCCATTAGTTGGATTCAATCGGGACGTACTAATTCACATAATTCCCAAAGCAAAGATGAGTAGGGCAGTGCCCGGCCAGAGAAGACATCCTCTGGTGGGAATGGTGGACAGGATACAACTTAACTGTAAGGAAAGACTCTGACAAGTGGTGTAATGGAAGCACAAAGAGTAGGGTGAAGGGAACTGTTTCTGGTTGGAGAAATTTAGAGAAGGCTCTGAACTTAAAAGTCTGTTTGTGTCCCATCCTTGCACATCAGGAGCAACCTTTATAACAAGATGCATGAGTGAGCTTCCAACAAGTAAACCTTCTAACACCTTCTTGCCTAGGACCTCAAAGTACTCACAGCTCACAAGAGATGGTAGAGTTATTAGTAACCCTATTTTGTGTAACAATAGTCATAAATAAAAAGAACTGAAAAGCAAATTCAGTTTCTGTCTGTCTTACCAGTGGGTTTCAGCCCTGGGCAAGTTCACTCTTGAATTGGTGAAACCAAAAAATGACAACGGAACATTCTTGGGGTGAAAGGGTTTATACCCAACTTCATTCCCATGGTGGCAGGTCAAGTGCTAGAATCCCATCTGCCTCAGGGCAAATCCACATGCAGCAAGCAGGTTTCTGCCTTTGGGCCTCTCCAGCCCCGCAGCTGTCTGGTCTCAGTCTCTGTCCTCGGCTTCTGCCACCACTCCAGCCTGCTCTCCTGCAGCCCAGAGTACTGGGTGAAGTCTTTATATAGAGCCAATATGGCCCACACGTGTGTAGTGAGCAAGTGGACCAGGGTCAGGTGAGAATCCTGGCCATAGGAACTTTCCTTTTCTTTACACTATCAATGACTTTCAACTAATTTGAAACTATCACTTTCTTAATTGCTCCAACAATTAATAGTGGAATAGTTCATAGGGGGACCTTCTCCCACAAAGAGCAGGCAATTTGAAGTACTTATCTGGAAAAATTCAAGCCAAAATACTATATATAGCTTTATCTCCATTTAAAAGCATTTTCTGGGTACCTTTTGACCTTCTTCTACAAGCAAGCACAGCATGTACTGTGCAGGGAAAAAAATAATGTAACATAAAACACACCAGACACTCAGCCTAAGGGTCACCTTCTTCTAAAATTTTTTGACACATAACACCCCTCCAAGTAGAAAAACCACTTCCTCCCATTATACCCAATTAAACCCTGCCTGGCTTTGACCTCAGGCTCTGTCCTTAGTACCGTGGCCTCTTCATATCCTCTGTCTTAAAATAATAACAGTACTTACACCTTACTGGTGGTTGTGAAGATTGATTAATACACATAAACTGTTTAGAACCCTGCCCAACACATCATAAGCACTCAATACATTGCACCACTTCATTAGTTTTGTTTATGTACTGCTGTAGAGCACCTGGGTGCAAATGCTGGCTCTTCCATTCATAAGCCGTAAGTCATACCCACCAGGCAGCAACATAGTGAGAATTACAGAAGATAATGCAGGTACAAGTACTCAGGACTCAGTAAGTGCTCAATAAATGATAGTTACATTATTTGCCTGCATCAACTAGTAGCTTTGGTCTTCGTACTTTTTTTAAATTCCTAGATCCCAGCACAATGCCAAGCACAGCCACGCACAGCGTTAAGTGCTTATTAAGTGTTAAATGAATGAGTGGAGCGCTGAAGTTTATTTCAGACAGGTGAAGCCAACCATTGATTTCTTCTTGGCTTTGTCTGTCGCCAGAGAATCACTGCCACCTGGCTTCATGGCCTCGCTTGTCCCCATGGAATCACTGCCACCTGGCACTCAAAAGGGGCGAATGAAATGACACCAGTGAAGGGCCGCAATTACCTGGCAGTGCCTCAATTCACTGTTTTGCTTGGAAATCCTTGCCGCCGCCACTCGCCCCCACGAACTTTAAAAGCGGCTTTTTTGATACCACTTCAATAACCTTGGTTAAGAAAATAAAACGCGGCCCAAAGCGGGAAGGGACTGAAGGTGGCAGGAAGGTCACCACCTTCCTGAGGAGCAGCCCAGGAGTTGGCTGGGCAAAGTTCGGGACCTTCTGGAGGGGCTGACGAGGTCTCGGAGCGGAAGACAAAGGGCATCCAGGGAGAGGGGCAGGGGCGCTGGGAGTCAGAACGCCTAAGGCAGGGAACAAAGAACCCAAGCGCCGACTGGGGATTCCGGGCTGCACACAAGGAAGCCTCATTGGAGAAAAGGGGGCGGCGAGGTGGAGGCGGGTGACCCACCACCCACGGCCCACGGTGACTGGGCACGGCCTGAGCAGGCCGACTCGGAGGAGGCGCGGGGCGAGGCTGCGGGCGGAGCGCGGTGAGGAGGGGCGGGGCGGGGCCCGAGCAGGCGGACTCAGAGGTGGGGCGGGGCGAGGCTGCGGGGCGGAGCGCGGTGAGAAGGGGCGGGGCGAGGTCCGAGGAAGCGGACTCGGTGGGGCGGGGCAGTGTTAAATGGGCGGGGCGCGGGCTGCGTCTGAGGACGCAGTTAAGAAGAGGTCGAGGGAGAGCGGGGAGGTGTCTCATGGCTGACCCGGGTCGTCTGCACCTGGTTAGCCTTCTGAGTTAACCGAGCCTTCCCCGGCTGTCAGCGTCCGGGACTGCCAGAGTTCTGGGACCGCCACCGAGAGTGCGAGAGGAGGGAACGCCCTTCCTCTCCTGATTCTGCCGAATATTCATGGCTGGGAGATGGGCAACAGTACGACAGCTTTTATTTCTCGAATTGCACTTTACCACTAGCCCACGAGAAAAGGAGACAGAGTCCTGTTCTCGGGGAAAGGATGGACGCCCTTTTTGTTAATGATTTGGGAAACGGTGTCAGAACGGTGTTTTAACAAGCGCTGCTGCCGCCCTAGCAATAGTGCTCGTGACTATTCCGATGAATAGGTGCTGCCCACGGGCTCACCCCTGGCTGATGGTCCGGAAATACTTTGTCCCTGCCCCCTGCACCGGGGATGATAACCCTGAGAAGACAAAAGGCAGTCCTTGCATGGGCACCCAGCACTTAAAACTGAGTGGTGTTGAAATAAAAAGTTAGCTCTAGTTTTGCACCCAGAAGTAGGTCTAGAAAAAATGTGATCTGCAATCAGAAAAACGCTCTTGTGGGTGAACAAAAAAATTTTTTTTCTGAAAAAATTTAGCAGTCTTGGTCTCAACAGTTGTTTTCTGAGACCAATAGCCTCAAAATATCAAGTCGTGGTAATGAAACATAAGTAAAAGCTGCTACTTATTCAACAGGTACTGTGTGCTTCGGGTTTATATTATCTCACTTTGTCTTTATAATCCATTAAAATACTGAATGGGTGTCTTCCATGGGACAGGCACTGTGCTAGGTGGCTAGGATTAGAAATGTGAGAGGGGACCTCATGGAAAGAGGCCAAAGAGGGGTAGGGGTACAATTTGCAAAGGAGGAAAATTACAGTAGGTAATTTGCCCTTCCTTATGCCCAAATAGTCTATCCACTACCACACCCTGCCTCCTAATTATAGGATTTCAGTGTTAACATCTGTTTTTATCCTTCTACCTAGGGAAAGCAAATGAAATCAAGGAGAGGTACCTATACACAAAAGAAAAGAAATAAGCCCCAATGGAAAATCCAACAGCTATAAAAATGACAGAATGGAATTCTGGAATACCCAGACAAGACGCTGAGAATTACTAGAAAATTCATTAACTCCAAGATCGAGTTCCTCAAGAATCAAATGTAAGGGAACAGTTCTAATGTATACCGTCAGTTGCCTGTGATAAGATGCAGCTTCTTTTAAATGAAATATGTTTTCTATTTTAATGTTTTTATATGCATTTCTATCATGCTCATCACTGTTACCTCTACATAGGAGTTGGCCTGTATTTCAAAGAGACACAGAGAAACTGTGCTGTAAGGACTACCTCCAATTGCATTTACAAGAGAAAAGGAGTCCCAGAGAGGTTCAAGTCACTGGGGGATGGCTGGCAAGGCCAGGAATTAAAGTCTAAATCTCCCAACAAGGATCTTCCCAAGAGAATACAGGAAATTTTACCTTTTAATCCAAGAACCCCCTAGAGTTTATTCACATGTAATTCTCCAGAGAAGTTCTTCGACAGCAGCATGTTAAGTGAAGCCTAGATTCATGTGTGTAGTGTAGGGGATACTGGTCAATAAAAACATTTCTAACTGAATGTCTCAATTTGTTTAACAGTTGTATTTTTGATCCTCCCAGCAAAACACATCAGCTCTTGTTTATACACTCTGCTTACATAAATGCATATTTAGAAAATGTGGGCTTAAAAGGTATTCCAGTAGGTACTCTTTTTTTCACATGCAGGACTGCATGAGAACAACTTAAAAATACGAAATCATACTTTGCATGATTCCTAAGAGGCATCATTTAGGATCTTGGTTCCAGTAAAATTTGTTGTTGTTGTTTGTTTTTTGCTTTTCCACATGAATATATTCTCTATTTTCTCTAAAGTAAACCAGTGCTTTGACAGATTTTAGATTTTCCCCTTTAACCAAAGGCACTATTCATTTCAATGTCCTTGGAGTGTTCTATCTGGGGATTAGACAACTGTACCAAAACACAGCTGTTCCAGTTTTTTCTCCTTTATTTTTCACATTAAAAAACTCCCACTATCAGCCAGTCCAATTAGTTACTCGCTATCAAAAGCCGGGTTTGGTCTTTCATCTTCGGGAAAAATGGATCCAAATAACAGGGTGTCATGGAAACTATCTCGGGTCATTTCCTGTTTCAATTGTTAAGCCACCAAAAAAAAAAACTTCAGCTCTATCAGATGGAAATTAATGAATACTTGCTGTTGCATTCTGAAGAGCATCCAACTAAATAAAAAAGTAATTATCTTTTTTGACCAAGGGTTCCCACCAACACCAAGGAATATAGGGAGATCAGTGTCCCTAAAATGGGAAGGGAAAAGCATTTGATTGAGTGAAGTTTCCCTAATTCAATGGTCAGTTTTAAGGCTATCCCTTGGGTTTGGGGAAACTAACTACAAGTTAAGTGGTCTTCACTGTTGTTAACTTTGTTCTTTCTCTTCCACTTCCAAAAAATTTTCATCTCTCCTCACTTATTCTACTTCACCCCAATTTTGACATTAACTAGACAGAGCTGGTATTCTCTTTAACGTAAAATTCCTCCAACATAAGGCAATATATTCTAAAAAAATTTCTTGCTGTACCTATTCTCTGCAAACAAAAGCACACACACACACGCATGCACGCACACGGAAAAAGGAGAGCTTAAGGCCTACAAGCAATACCAGGCAGGCACATATGTTTAGGAAATGAAGTCCTGGCTGGAATTCAGTAATATTGAGCCCCTTAGTGATCTAATGCACACCAGTATACACTGTGGATGGAAACAGTGCCAGACAGGACAATGAGGAACTCAACCTGTATTTAATATGTTTCAGCTCTAAGTAACTGTTGGCAAAAAACGTGGAAGCAATACAACAAATCAATTTCAGGGCTCCGGAGGATTTGCTCAGATAAGACAGCTATGAAGTATACATTATAGGGTAAGTTCACAGCTCCATTGTGGGAAAAGCACCTACTTGCAATGCTTTCTGTCCCGTTTTAGGTTATAGCTTCTCATTCAAACTGAAGTATCTGTGCTGCTTCTTTTCGTTAGAATTAAAAAAAAGAAAAACTGAGAAATCATCCAAACACAAATTAACTTTAATTATTATTAAAGTAATCTAAGGCTTACATGACTTATATCCAACTTGCCAATTTGGACAATTTTATAGAAAAGACTGTGAAAGAAAATAAAAGACAGCATTTAGCAGTGACCCCTGAATTTTAGACCTTCTATCTGTCATTAAGTCACTTGTTTATCAGTGCCAGCAAAGAGGCATCTAGGCCAAGCTTGTTCACCATTTCTTTCCCAGTTATACCTCACATGCTGCTTTAGTTCCTCTCTCAAAATCTTCATTTACGCCCCTAAGAGAATGGCTTCATTTTATCAAAAATAAGATGGAGATGATGATTTCTAACTGCAAATCACTTCTATTATTTCTTTTTTTTTTGGTCAGCCTTTAAGTAAAGAAGAATATCCAACCTCTACACCCTTCATCAAGAAAGTCTCTAATTTAGGAGGAAAGGTACTGGTGCGCAATCTTTCAGAGTGTTTATTGATGTTATACTTACTGTGCTTTGGTATTTATGTGCACAAAACACCAGTAGTAATAATTTCATCAGAGGGTTAACTTTTGCCAGAAGTAGAGAAGTAATTTCTAGAAGCTATTCATATAGTATTTTCTTGTAGAAAAACAAGTTAAAATATGGAATTAACTGCTGAAGGCATCAACACAAAAAGGCACAATTCAGTTCAAAGAAAGAGTGAACCTAGACAAAAATAAATCTAAGAATATAGCTACCAACCAGACTTGAAGGGCTCTGGTCATCATGAGTGAAGTTGGTTTTATCCCAAGAGAAACAATACATAAAATAAAGATGGAGCTGGTGCAATGGGTTGTGAACTATAAGAGAGACAAAGAAATACAGTCTGTGTATCCAGACAGACCATTTTTATATTCTGGTCATAACTCATTCTTTTTAATTTCTTTCCCCTAGAAAATGCAATGATACTGAGCTTACTGCCCTTTCTACCTTATTTATTAAAATGGAGAAGAAGGAAATAGATAATCTAAATTTATAAGCAGCTCAATTATAGAATTCTAGTAAACTCTATCTACATAGGAATAGGTTAACTCTTGTAATTAGTGTATGAACTTGAATACCAGATTTTATGAAATTTCACTTATGGGTTTTGTTTGGTTTATTTGTATGCCCAGTCCAGGGTACTTTTTGAAACACAGATATTCATTAGGTACCTTCAGTGTTAAAGATACAATGCTTTAACACTTTTGGCCAATGAAAAGCATACCATTGAGAAATGGACACATATGCCATTTCCTGGACATCCCAAATGCTTTCCCACACACCCCAGCTACTCTGCAATTAGGTGGGGTCATGTGACCAAGTATGGCTGACTGGTTGTGATCCCAAGTGACTTGCGAGAGCAGATAGACTCCCAGGACATCAACAGGGCATCTGTCATTCCAGTGAAGGAGAAGAAACAGGAGAAGGGCCAAGCTGGATACTGCTGCGGGACTTCATCCCCAGAGGCCCTGCTGGAGCATTTCAAAGCCATGACTTCTGGTGGTATCACAAGTATGTGAAGAAGGAGAACAGCTCCGGGGCTTCAAAGGGAATGACAGCTTACATGTTTTAACTGCACCTTTCTTACAAGGAACTTAAATGTGAATGCTCATTTAAGTACCACTAGGAGGAAACAAATGGAGAAGGTTACTCTGGGTTCCAGACCATGACCTCTTTCCCTTAGCACCCCTCCTCGAAGAACATCATTGCTGAATCCTTTCATATCCTAATCGGGAATTAAAGCCCCAAAAAGATAACTGACATGTGTTTTAAAAATAAAAAAGTAACTGTGTCACCACTCAGCTAAAGCTCACAAGAGTGAAGGGGAGTTCTCTGTGCCTGTCTTGCCCTGCTGAGGCAAACTGGAAGTCACAGGTTGAGGTACTAAAGTGTCAAGATAGAAGAAAACCACATCAACCCCTAGAAAGCATAGACATGAAATATGTGTGCACTGAGATGAAGGGGTTTGTTCACAGTCACAGCCTATCGTCAGCCAGGGATTCTTAGCTTTTTTGGGTCACAGAGCCCACTGACAGTACAGTGACATGTGTGAACCTCTTCCCAGGATCATGTGTTTAAATGCATAAAATTTCTGGTAAAGGTTGTAAAGAACACTAATTCTAAAATTTTTCTTTAAAGTTTTGATAGGGCAATGTGTGCTTCTTTATTAATACATTTATCAACAAGACTCAGCAGTGCGTCAGAACAACTACTATATTTCAAGATAGTAAGGATCAGTTATTTGTGATACCTACAATATGGAGTAATCTTTCATTTGTTTAGGTGACAAAGTCCTAGGTAGTGCTAATACTGTTAGGATTGGTTGTCTACGTTGTAATGAAAAGAAATGCGAAATTTCCATTAGCGGTTTACATTGTAATGTTTTTTTCCTTGAAGTTCCTGGACTCCTTGAATTCTGTGGAGCTCAGGTTAAGAACCCCTACATGATCAAAAAGACTAACAACAACAAATGCTGGCAAGGATGCAGAGAAAGGGGAATCCTCCTACACTGCTGGTGGGAATGTAAGCTAGTTCAACCATTGTGGAAAACAATATGGAGGCTCCTCAAAAAAGCTAAAAATAGAAACACCATTTGACCCTGGAATCCCACTCTTTGGAATTTACCCAAAGAACACAACTTCTCAGATTCAAAAAGACATATGCACCCCTATGTTTATTGCAGCACTTTTTACAATAGCCAAGATATGGAAACAACCTAAGTGTCCATCAGCAGATGAATGGATAAAGAAGATGTGGTACAGAGGGCAAAGCCAAGATGGCAGCGAGTAGAGCAGCAGGAATCTCCTCCCAAAACCACATATATCTATGAAAATATAACAAAGACAACTCTTCCTAAAATAGAGACCAGAGGACAGCATCCAGACCACATCCATACCTGCGAGAACCCAGCGCCTCACGAAGGGGGAGAGGAAGGCCACAAAACAACAAGAAGGAAAGCTCCTCCAGCCGTCACCCGTATCAGCTCTCCAAACTATCTCTCACCATGAAAAGGCAAAACGACAGGAAGACAAAGATCACAGAGTCAACACCTGACAAGGAGACAGACCTAACCAGTCTTCCTGAAAAAGAATTCAAAATAATAATCATGAACATGCTGACGGAGATGCAGAGAAAAATGCAAGTGCCATGGGATGAAGTCTGGAGGGAGATGACATATGTCAGAAAGGAGATCACAGAAGTGAAACAAACCCTGGAAGGATTTATAAGCAGAATGGATAAGATGCAAGAGGCCATTGAAGTAATAGAAACCAGAGAACAGGAACATATAGAAGCTGACATAGAGGGAGATAAAAGGATCTCCAGGAAGGAAAAAATACTAAGA